ACAGAAATTATAAAGGATCCCTACAAGAAAGACCTTTAGTTTTACCAAAAACAGCGTAATATCAGCTCATCACCTCTCCACAGACTCCAGACACCAAACACTAATTTTACCTTCAGATCATCCTTTAACTTCATTCAAGCAGTGGACAGAAACAGAATAAAAACTGTCTTTGTTAGTCTTCACGCTTTAGGTTGTGTCTTTATTATCAGGCAGTGGCAGCTGGTGAAAAATATTCTCAGTGTGGGCTTGGCCATACTTTTAGTTTCTGTAACCATGCGCCAACTCAAAAGCCCCACAAAACCTTCACACAATCCGTCCAATTTTGATAAAAGTGCCTGTTTTTATCCACCTCCTCCGTGCGTGAGCATGTTCAACCCTTCCTAAATTACGGCTAGCTTTACAGTGTTATCCATTGTGTGCCCTGGTGTTCTCCATGTTTCTTTACTTCTCTGACAGTGCTTTCATATCCTCCTCCGGTAACTGTCCATGCTGGATCTGTCCCAGTCGTTTTAAAAAGCAACGGAAAGCAAAATAAAGCATTGGCATGAGTGGGCGCGCCCCAGGCTAGCCAAGCCTTCTCTACGGGAGAAACCGTGCATATACTGCTCCCTTTCCCCGCTAGCCTCTGTCTGATGAGAGTCAGGTTGAGTCTGGGCACAGCTCTTTTCAACCCCAAACTTTCTCCCGACAAAGTTCTCGCTCCTCAAACGGATCTTGGAGGAGAGATTTCCACCGAGGTTAGGGTTGGTCTTGGAGGAGTAACGTTCGCGCTCGCCATTGTCGTCTAGTAAAATACCGTGCCCCTAGAGCCCGGTCCTTAATTTTATCCAGAGGGCGAGCCTTGGAGCCCGATAAAATAATCGGCCCCTTCTTGGATTCGATTTAAGGACGACTGATTGGCTAAATTTATGTCATACACATTCATATCTTTAATTAGCAAATTGTGGCTTAACTGCTACATAGACCCGTCTCCTGGAGCCGCTTTCTCTATCGCCCCAGACGCTATGGGCGTTCAGACAGGCCAGAAGGATAGGTTGCGAATATTATTTTTCTATCATAACATTTTACACATATTTACTGGGTGCATCCAATATTTCCACAACACACAAATATTTGACATACTGATATTTTATCAATTATTATTATTATCTTTATTTTTAATTTTTTAATTAATTTAATTTTTAATTTTATTTAATTTTTTGGCTCAGGGGGCGCGGCCTAACGCGCCCTCCTAATTGGCCAGCCCGCCCCTGGTATCAGATAATTGACCTGCCATTGTTTCTGCAGTTCTGTCACACTCTGGACCTTGGTGGACCGGTCAGTGAGCCGGGGACGAGGCACGGGGGCAGCTGCAGCAGCGGGGGCAAGTAATGTGGTAGTATTGCATAGTGTCGGTGGCAGCAACACTAACAAGGACGCAGGAGGAAGCCCTCTGAGCGCGGAAGGGCAGCTCCGAGGAGCCCTCGGCGGCCGGACGAGACCCTGAGAGACAGAGCTGATCAGTTGATTTGGAAGCACCTGCCTGCAAGTCCCAGAACAAAAACTGAGAGGAGTCTACTGGACTCAGGTAGCTCTAACACACAGGAAGCATGTGGCAGTCAGATAATTCACATATATTATATATATAAACAGCATTATGAAAAAACATTATGAACCAGATGAAAAGAATATTTTTAATTCAATTCAATTCATTCAATTTATTTGTATAACGCTAATTCATAACAGAAGTTATTCAGAACTTTATATAGAGGTCGAACTCCTTATAAAATTACCAGGACCCAACAGTCACGACACCATGAGCAAAGACCTTGAGACAGGGGGCAAGGAAAAACTGCCTTTTAACAGGAGAGAGAGAAGAGAGAGCGACCCAGAGAGAGAGAGAGACAGAGAGAGAGAACAGAGAGAGACAGAGAGAGAACAGAAGATGTACCGCAACACATAGCAACAACTAATTAATAGTGATATCGATGACGATCATGGAAAAAGACGGTGACGACGACAGCAGCAACGACGGGAACAATAGCGAGCAGCGACAACAGCTACCCGCAGCAACAACAATAGTCAACAACAACTAATAATATAACGATAATATTTCAGATAGTTAGCAATGCAGTCTAGCAGGACCATGGCAGGAGGTCCACCAGGATCCATGAGAACCTGCAGGACGATAAACACAAGAACTCCCGGGGAAGAAGTGAAGTTATGAGCATGCATTCATGGGACATTTTAGACTTATTGGAGAGATCCATTAGAAGATAAAAGGCCATAATCTGCCTTCCTTGATCTTACCAGAAAGATCCTTATATCACCAAGAAATAAAAGTTCAGCACACACATCAGACACTGACAATAACAACCTGCCACATTCACCCATTTAGTCTATCAACTGAAGGCGAGCGTTTGGGCACACTTGAAGAGCTTGATATGACTCTTTCAATATGTGAGACTCATCGCACAGTGGATGGCAGTAGATGGTTAAATTAGCTCTTCAATGTACTGAATTGAGAAATGTTTTAAATCTAATTGTGACACCTATAATTGGCAAGGAATTGAAGCGTTGAATTAAGATACCAAAAGATTCACTCATTTAGCTCAACGTTTGGCGTGGAGGACTACTATGATTGGACAAAGTTGCAAGGTTGCACAGAATTCACAGGTATTGGTTTAATTTGCATTAATTCTGGAACTTCCTGGAGGGACTGATATACCGCCTACTGTTAAATGTCTTTAAACTCTACATTTATCTTGTTCCTTTCTGTTTCTTTTTTACTGGATGTGTCAGTGGCGGTGACGACGTATTTCACTGCACACATCTGACTGGTTGATAAATCATATTTGACTCTCACACCGTGGCAGATATTTTGGTCCACTGCATCATAAACGTGTCAGAAAACCTGCAGTTCGAACAGTTTACTGCATTACTGACGGTCTGTAATCAATACTGGCCCTGAATATTAGATTACATGTTCATTTTAAGCACCAATAACTGGTCAGAGAATGCATTATGTGCATTCCTCATCTAAAGTGAGGTCATTCGCAGCGACCTTTAAATGTCATTATCAGACTCCGGAACATGACGCCAGAGTTTGAACAGATGAAATTTCAGCTGAAAATCCAGAAACAAACAAACAGCAGTGAGTCTGTTAAAGACTCATAATGAATGTGAGGAGGAGGACGGAGCAGACAGGGGGACGGAGCAGGTCAGAGGTGTTAATTAATGGCGAGTGTACCTGCTGAGTCGGAGGTGACAGATGGGCACAGAGGAGGAAGGAGGACAGCCAAGGACGCAAAGTTAGAGGAGGACAGGAAGAGAGGGAAAACAGAGGCGGAGGTCAGCCGAGGAAGCTGGACCAGAACAAAAGAGCTTTGGGAGAATCACAAAAGGAGCAAAGGAGAAAGGAGAAAGAAGAAAGAAGAAAAGGAGAAGGAAGGAGTCCAGTGAATTAATGAGCAGTGAAGAGAAGATGTGTTTCTCATATTTATTCTGCAGCTGCTCTTAATTTGATTACGAGAGAATCCATCTTGCCATGCTTCAATCTACAAGTCCAACCACAGCGGTTCAGACCAATCAGCATCCTTTGAGGATCTGCTGGCAGTGTGACGCAGCAGGAAATGACTGTCAGTTTGAAAACACAATGCTGGCTGCTAAACAGGTTAGTATAGATGCTGCTAACACCAGGTATATCAGAACCGGAGAGTAACGGACAGGGATGGAAATCAAATTCCAAATTGTCCGAGGAAAGAGTGACAGCGGAGAGGAAGAAACGGTGCAACCCTTCATTTCACAAAGAAACTCAAACTGCAATCACTACTCTGTGTTCAGACTTTAGGGAATAAACGCAGAATCAATTGATAATAGTCCCGACTGGATCATTGATCTGGTTAAAGTTTGCCTGTATTAGTCATAGACAAGTTAGCGCTGCTGTACAGACGCTAACATCGGTCCTACCAGATGGATTGTGATGAAATGTTCAGACATTTATGTTCTCCTCAGGATGGACTGACCCTTCCTAAGCCCCGCCCCGTTTGCTCTGTGCTCCAATCACAGTTGAGCAAGCCTCGTTCATCTTCCTCCCTGTACTTAAATATGCTACGTGCTAGGCTAATCGATGTTGAAAAGACAACCACATTTTGAAGATGGTCAAAAGATAAAAGAGACATATAGTCATATATTAAGTTAGCTACTGTTAGCAAAATGCTAGCTAACTAGCTACATATATATAGTGCAAACACCAACCACCAACAGTAACATTGTAACAGCCAGTGGGACACATCCTCCACATGAATGTTTTTGTAGATGTAAAACCGGATTAGAGGGAATGTCCCTCATCTGGTCTGTTAGACATTATTCACTGTTACTCCTCCTAAGAAGATGGAGGGAGGAGCAGGGAGAGGAGACGGAGGTAGAGAGCGACCTGAGCAGATTGAAGGGATGAAGAGGAGGAGGAGCAGAGGGTCCCTGCTGAGCTGTGGAGGATAGGGGGAGACAGAGGGGGGACAGAGGGGGGGACAGAGTGGAAACAGAGGGGGAGACAAAGGGGGGAGAGGAGGTGATAATTAGCGGGAGTCTACCTGCTGGGTTGGAGGCGAGGGGTCGGGTGGAGGGGGCGTCGCTCCGGCTCTCTGACAGGAAGTCATCGATGGAGGGACTCAGCAGGGGTCGACTCTCCTGCTGCTCCCGAACCAGCTGGAGACCAAAAACACCACAGTTAGAGACCAGAGTCTACAGACCAGAGTCCACGGACCAGAGTCCACGGACCAGAGTCCACAGACCAGAGTCTACAAGCCAGAGTCCACAGACCAGTAGAAACAGTATTCAGAACCCTTTGGGAGTTCACTGCGTCTCTTTACTGCGTCTCTTTACTGCGTTTCTTTACTG